ATAAATTGTTGCCTTGGCAGCGATTTATTTTATATAAAAAAAATATATATTTCATAAAGTCGCTGCCTGGGCAGCGTTTTATTAAAAAAATTATAAATCGCTGCCCTGGCAGCGATATACCTTATTTAAAAAAAAATGAAATCGCTGTCAAGGCAGCGATTTCTAAGAAACAAAATTATGAAATCGCTGTCTAAGCAGCGATTTCATTTTTTTATTTAAAAAAATAACTTTTGCAAAATCGTTGTATCTGCAGCGATTTTGCTTTTTCAGGTGAGATAAGTCGTTGTATCTGCAGCGATTTTACCATTTTGATTTTATTAAAATTTTATATATCGTTTTGAAATTTTTGTTAATATTTTGTATCCTTTAAGTTTCAGACTCTCGAATAACTTATCTTGTATTTGAATGATATATCTATTGAATATAATTTTTTTACTTCATAAAAAATCCATAAAATTAAAATCTCACACTCAACCACTTATTGAAAATATATTATTATTTTTAAAGCATTAACCCCCACCCCACTCCCTACACCCAAACAAACGGAAAAATGGCCCCTACACCTAAATAAGAGAATGTTGACGAAAACTGAAAAATGATATGGGGTAGTTTTTTTAATTAAAAATACTATTGAAATTCCAAAAGAAGAAGAGAGGAATCTCATGGTGAGCATTTGTATTTATTTATTTATTTATAACAAAATAGCAAAGAAAGTGAATAAAAATTTTAAAAAAAAAGAACAAATCTATATGTACCAAAACAAGTCTGAAACATTATTTCAACTCATCAAAAGCTCTTCTTGAAACTAAACTCTAAATTCTTCAAGAAATCCAGAACAAATAAAAAAAAGAAAAAAAGAGACTCGTACATTGCGATCTTGATTATTATCTCCCACGAAAACTGAACTTAGTATTTTCGACACGAAGAATATAATAAACATTCCTATGATGAAGTCATTAAAAGCTCTTCTAATAATTCAACTCCCAAGTCTTGAAAAACAAAAACATTTTCCAAATTCTCATTCTTCTTCTTTCTACTACTTCTCTTGTGCTTGACTCTTCTAGTTTTATGAGTAGCTTTTAAAACAGCAGCTGGAGATAATCCATCTTTACAAGAATACTCAATATTTTCAAGAGATTTTTTAACATGTTCCATTGGAAAATTGAGTAGAGACCAAGGACCCCTCATTGATAATGCGGCTTGATCATAAGCTAAAGCAGCTTCTTCAGCAGTATCAAATGTTCCTAACCAAACCCTAATTCCATTACGCGTTGAATCCCTAATTTCTGATGCATATTTACCCCATGGCCTCTTTCTAACTCCAATATAATGTTTTTCTTGATCATCTTCATGTTTTTTCTCTATGGATGTTACCTCTTCTTGATCATGATGAATATTTTGGATACTTGCTACTTTTGATGTTGTTGTTGTTGTTGTTGTAGTACTAGTGTTT